AAGCACTTTGGGGTAATAAACAAAGCAGTAGCACGTTAAGTCTTGTAATTAAGTTTCAGATATTAAATCAGAGGGTGTAGTTAGAGTTGGCCGCGATGAGTAGATATACATACATACACAAACACAATATCTACATAAAGGCTGGTATATAAACTTTGCATTATGTCGGTCTGGTAATAGCCTTGTTTTCACTTCTTAGCGAACGTTGGGTGTGCATTGTCTAGCTCCGTAATGGGGAACCTACGGCATGTGTGCTGGAAGTGGCACGCAGAGCCATCTCTCCAGGCACGCGAGCTGTCGCCTGTTACTTTTCTGGGTTCCAGCGTGCCGGCCAGCTGGTCTTCACATGAGCGGGAGTGCCAGAAATCGGGAGACTGGTGTGCATGTGCATGCCGGAAACTGGAGTAGCAGCTGCCCGACACACGCATGTGTACCGGATGGCTGCTCTTCCGGTTTCCGGAACTCACATGCGTGCTGGCCAGCTTGTCTTTGCACATGAATGTGTGTCAGAAACGGGGAGACGACATAGCTGGTGTCAGGGGTGAAATGTAAAATTTGTTACTATCGGTTCTGTGGGCGTGGCTTGGTGGTAGAGGTAATATGACTGAGTGGGCGTGGCCAACTTTTTTTTTTTAACTTTTAAAAGCATTTTTTCTACAATCTCTTTGGCTGAAGAGGTTGTAAAAAAAAATGCTTTTAAAAGCCTCTGACGATCCCAGCTGAGTTGCCTGATCAGCAGCAGTTTTTTTTCCTTTTAAAAACATTTTTCTATAACCTCTTCGGACGAAGAGGTTGTAGAAAAAATGCTTTTAAAAGCCTCTGATGATCCCAGCTGAGCTGCGCGATCATCAGATGCTTTTTTTTTTTTTACCAAAGATGTTGTAGAAAAAATGCTTTTTAAAATTTTTAAAAAGTCTCTGATGATTGCACGGCTCAGCTGGGCAATGGGGGGGCGGGCAGGGATTTTTGCTACCGGTTCTCTGAATCACCCGCCTCCATCGCTACCAGATCGGGCACTCCGGTCCGAACTGGGAGCATTTCACCCCTGGGTGGAATTCCATTTTTTTTTACTCTGTGGGCATGGCTTGGTGGGCATGGTGTTGCTTGGTGGGCGTGGCAGGGGAAGGATACTGCAAAATCCCCATTCCTTCCCCACTCTGGGGCCAGCCAGAGGTGGTATTTGCCGGTTCTCCGAACTACTCAAAATTTCCACTACCAGTTCTCCAAAACCTGTCACAACCTGCTGAATTTCACCTCTGGGCCACCACCAAGTAGGCCGTTTTATATGGTCCCACCACATATACAGTACATTCCTAATGTCTTCCAATATTTGAGGGGCTGTCCCAGAGGGAGGTAGTCAACCTATTCTCCAAAGCACCTGAGGGCAACACAAGAAGTAACAGATGGATGATCTTTAAAGAGGGAGCCAACTTAGAACCAAGGAAAAATTTCCTGACAGCTAGAATGATTAATCAGTGGGATGTATAACCGTGGGACTCTGTAACTTCAATAAAATTTTTATTTATTATTATTATTATTATTATTATTATTATTATTATTATTATTATTATTACTATTATTATTATTATTACTATTATTACTATTATTACTATTATTATTATTCATATTTCTATGCCGCCCACTCTCCGAGGACTCTGGGCGGTTTACACCAAAGACAGTCTACTAAATAGCCTATTGCCCCCAACAATCTGGGTCCTCATTTTACCCACCTCGGAAGGATGGAAGGCTGAGTCAACCTTGAGCCGGTGAGATTTGATCCACTGATCTGCTTGTCAGGGTGGCAATTAATCCCATTCTGTTTTTGGGTAATTGCACCTTGATTTAGAGAAGTGGATCGAGGCTTTTCCCTTGAAGCATCCTTTAAGAAAATAAACCCGAAGATATATTTTCTAAGAAAAACTCATTTATTTGTTATAAAGAAAATAAAACATCTCACTAGCTAATTAGTTACATCTTGGCAAAGCTTTCCCCAGCCAGACCTCTCCTGGCCGGAGAACAAAGAAAGTTAGAAGAAAGTGAAAGAATGTGGACATGCACAGTTAGCTTAAAGATAAGAACTTGGCAAGCTACGGTAAGTCTGAAAGTCCAAAAATAAAAGCTCATCTGGTAAATACAAAAACGCAGTGACACTGCTGAACTATCAGTCATCTGAAGTAGCTGCAGTACTGCCCCCTAACCACTGCGCCAACCTTGTCACGATTATTTCAAAATAGAGAAGGATCTTGTACTTGTTGGAAGAAACATCCTTCTAGGTTCTGCTCCAAGTGGGGAAAAAGACACTGGAAACATGGAGACTGCTTGGAAAGATGGTTTAATGGTGGACAGGATCACATGGTTTGAGTTCTTGAACAGAAAAGGGGACGAGATACAGTAAACCTCGGGTTTTTATGCTCTCTCTGGCTCTGCATTTCTTGGGGCCACGAAAGAGTATCCTGATTGGTTGTCAGACTCCCAGGGGGTGGGGGTCCTAGCTAGCCTTGCTGGCAGATGGTCACATGTGCTTCCCAGGTCACATGTGGTGAGTTTCTGTTGCTAGATGGGTAGAGGGCTAATCCTATCTTTATTGGATCTTGGGCAATTCCTACTATGGCTCTGCCTGAAGGAGGTAGATCTTTGTTATGTAGAATAGACTGGCCCAGGCCTTAATGGCCCATTGACAAAGGGTGGGGGCAGGAAGATGGGAGCTGCTTCAAAACATGCTTATCCCAGGGAAATATAATATTCTGCCTTTTTCATATTTCCTAAAATATTTCACTCTTCCAGGAAAGGGTGGGTGCTAACTTCCTACATACTTCTACAGGTCAAAGCATTGTTGGAAGGTATAAATGCTTTGAGGAAGACTAAGCAAGGATAGATTACTACAAAGCACCTGAAGGCAAGACATGAAGCAATGGATGGAAACTAATCGAGAGAAGCAACCTAGAACTAAAGAGAAATGTTCCGACAGTGAGAACACTTAATCAGCGTGATGGCTTCCCTTCAGAAGTTGTGGGTGCTCCATCGATGGGGGTTTTCAAGAAGAGTTTGGACAGCCGTTTGTCTTGGATGGTGTAAGGTCTTCTGCAGGGGTGGGTTTTATTTTATTTTATTTATTTTATTTTATTCAATTTGTATCCCGCCCTTCTCCTAGTGGACTCAGGGCGGTGCACAGCCAGAACTAAAACACATACCAATACAAAATTTAAAATTATTAAAAGAATTACATAACTTTGGCCCAAATTTAAAACAATTCAAATTAAAACCCATTGACAATTTAAAAAGCTAAAAAAACTAAAAAAGACTAAAAGGGGGGGGTTCACGCCAGCCCTGCTTGATGGAAAAGAAAAGTTTTCAGGGCACGGCGAAAGACCCGGAGATCCGATATCCTTCGTATCTCCGGGGGCAAATCGTTCCAGAGGGCAGGAGCTGCCACTGAGAAGGCCCTCCCCCTGGGGGTCGCCAGCCGACATTGCCTGGCTGACGGCACCCTGAGGAGTCCCTCTCTGTGGGAGCGTACTGGTCGGTGGGAGGCTAAAATTGGTTTTGCTACCAATTCGCTCGCGCCTGTGCCACATCTGTGCATGTGCAGAAACTTTTGTGCATGCACAGAGATGCATGCACAGAGTATTTGATGACATCTGGGCAGGTATCTGTTATCTTATACATGCTTGACAAATAAAGAAGCAAAATAAGAGAGAGAGAGAGAGAGTCAGAAGTCAATGCTTCTTATCCTTCCTCACTTCTCTTCCCTCTTTTCCTCCCAATGACAGAGATGATTCAAAGGCCACCTTGGCCTCAGGGTGTTGAGAAGCTTCCTCTGTCATTGAGCTGGGCGATTAATCCCTGCGAGTGGAAACTCAGGGCTTCCCTTGGCACCAGGAAAGAGGCCACCGTCTTCAGTGAATGAAAGGAAAACCCACAAGGGAAGAAAAGAGAAAAGGGAAGCCTCCATCACCAGAAATCAGGAGAACCAGAAAGAGATCTGGGGCAGGAGGGCAGCTGCCTCTTCCAGGATGGCCCCCTATAGCCCTTCCCATCTATGGTACCCCAAAGTCTCCATGGAAGATGTGGAGAAAGACAGGGATCCCCCTGTTCCCATGGAGGGAAGCATTCCTGAAGGTCACCCCTAGTTGACTTGGCATTGTGGCTAGAAGAGAAAGGACCACTGGAACGCCATGTCTATGGAGATCCTCCATCATCCAGGTCACGGTTGTCCCAAAGGTGCTTCTCCCAAAGACAAGTGGACTTCCTTGGGTTGGGTGAGGAGTGTTCTCCTTGAAAAACATTTCGCTTCTCCTCCAAGAAACTTCTTCAGATCTTCTGCATGAGAAGCAAAACCTTCTCAGGGAAAAACTCCAAGGAAGTTCAGCTGCCTTTGGGGAAAGCACTTTTGGCATCGCTGGGATGTCAGCCCCACCCCTCTGCCTCTCGCTAGCCAGGGTGTGTATGTGTGCGCCCCACATTTTGGTCCTGGAGGGCCAAACTGGGTAGATAAAGGATTCCGACTGGAGATTGGAAGAACTGGGCTGGGAGGGGGGGGGAAGGCTGGGGTTAGGAGACACGACCCCCGGCTCAGCCTCTCTCCCCACGCCAGAGGGTCAAGCCCAGCCTCCCGCCTCCCACTAGTCAAGGGGGACCATTTCTGACAGATGGCAGTCCAGTCTCTTCTTGAAAGCCTCCAGTGATGAGGCTCCCACAACTTCTGAAGGCAACTTCTGTTCCATGGGTTGATTGTTCTCACTGTCAGAAAATTCCTCCTTATTTCCAGGTTGAATCTCTCCTTGGTCAGTTTCCATCCATTATTTCTTGTCTGGCCTTCAAAGGTGCTTTGGAAAATAGTTCGCCCCAATTTTGGCCACAGAAGCAAAAGATGCGCCGTGGGGCGCATCATAAGGCACTCCGATTGGAGAGTGGAAAAACTGGAGTGGGAGGGCGGAAAGGCTGAGGTAAGGAGGCGTGACCCCCCTCCCCCTGTCTCAGCCCTTCTCCCCACCCACCCCCGAGGGTCTCCCCGCAGCTGGGTCTCCGACGCAGGGCTCAAGCAAGACGCCGCAGAGGCTGGTCTCCGGCCGTTCCGCAGGGCAGGGCGCGGTGTCACCGGCTGCTCATCCCCGCCCTTGGCCGCCCGGTCCTTAAATGCCGAGCGATGCAGGCGCCGCCGCCTCTTCTTCCTTCTCCTTCTCCTCCTCTTCCTCCTCCGATCCGTTCAGCCGCTCACCATGAAGCCGCTCCTCGCCGCGCTGCTAGCCGGCCTCCTCTGCATGCGGACGGGTAAGGCGCGCCCCGGCTCGCCCCGGTGGGAAAGTCGAAAATTGTGGCTGCGTCCATCGTGATGCTACAATTCGTGTCTCGGGGGGGATCGGAGGCGATTTGAGCCGGGCGGGGGTCCTGAAGTGCCCGGGGAGCTGAAGCACCCCCGGTTAAGGTGGGATTCAAAGATCTGCGCGAAATCTGCAATGCCAAGTTGGGTTAAGTGTTGGCTTGGCCAAAAAGCGGTGCGGTTATTTATCGTGGTTGTCCGGGATCTGGTCATTCTGGGCATTTTGGATGGGGGGAAATATTGAAAGGACAGATTAACAGAGTGGGAAGGGACCTTCTAGTCATCTAGTCCACCCCTAAGCAGGGGACTCTTCACCATTTCTGACAGATGGCAGTTCAATTTCTTCTTGAAAGGTTCCAATGATGAAGCTCCCACAACTTCTGAAGGCAGCTTCTGTTCCATTGAATATAGAATAGAGTTGGAAGGGAATTGAATATAGAGTTGGAAGGGAATAATTCTAGGTCATCTAGTCCACCCCCCCCCCAAGCAGGAGACTCTTCACCATTTCTGACAGATGGCAGTTCAATTTCTTCTTGAAACGTTCCAATGATGAAGCTCCCACAACTTCTGAAGGCAGCTTCTGTTCCATTGAATATAGAATAGAGTTGGAAGGGAATAGAATATAGAGTTGGAAGGGACCTTCTAGATCATCTAGTCCACCCCCCCCCCAAGCAGAGACCCTAAACCAATGACACCCATTTCTGACAGAGGGCATCCAGTCTGGCAGTCCAGTCTCTTCTTGAAAGCCTCCAGTGATGAAGCTCCCAGAACTTCTGAAGGCAACTTCTGTTCCATGGGTTGATTGTTCCCACTGTCAGGAAATTCCTCCTTATTTCCAGGTTGAATCTCTCCTTGATCAGTTTCCATCCATTATTCCTTGTCTGGCCTTCAGGTGCTTTGGAAATTAGCTTGATCCCCTCCTCTCTGTGGCAGCCCCTCAAATATTGGAACACTATCCTGTCTCCCCTGGTCCTTCTCTTTATTGACTAGCCATGCCCAGTTCCTGCAACCGTTCTTCATATGTTTTAGTCTCCAGTCCCCTAATCATCCTGGTTGCTCTCCTCTGCACTTTTTCTAGAATCTCAACATCTTTTTTTTTTTTAAAGACCTCTCTAAAGTTCTTTACAAACGATTCTTTAGCATCCTGATTTAGCCTGGTTTAAGCCAACTATGGTTTCTTCAATAACCCCCCATTGTCCTGGTGCCAAGGACAGCCCGGCCTCGAAACTAAATCGACCTACCGGATTAGAAGAGTTCAAATGTGCTTGGGATGTTGAGATTTATGGTTTAAAAACAAGCAATCACCGTTTCACTTGACACAGTGCATAAATCTAAACCATTGGGGTAATTAGCGGGTTGGTGCGTTACACAGTCTTGGATCAGTTAGGAAAACTACAGTGGGGTCGTGTGAATTTGCTTTGGTTTCAAGAAGGAAGGAAAAACTGGTCTTTGTAGACGCAGATTCGTAGAATCTGATGGGGATATCGGGAGGTCATCTAGCCCAACCCTCTCCAAGCTTTGCAGAGAAAAGGGTTTGCAAGGCCCCCCTTTGAGAAGATGCTTTTTGTGGCCACTCAGTAGTGCTGACAAGGGGATGAACATCCAACTTTTGCATTTTGTACTTTTATAGTTTTGTAATATTCTATATACCGTGTTTTCCCCAAAATAAGACCCTGTCTTATATTTTTTTGAACCCTGAAATAAGCGCTTGGCCTTATTGCCATGCGCTCAAAAGCCTGATTGAGCTTATTATCAGGCATGTCTTATTTTGGGGGAAATATCTATCTATCTATCTATCTATCTATCTATCTATCTATCTATCTATCTATCTATCTATCATCTATCCCTATCATCTTTCTTTCTTTCTTTCTTTCTTTCTTTCTTTCTTTCTTTCTTTCTTTCTTTCTTTCTTTCTTTCTTTCTTTCTTATCTATCTATCTATCTATCTATCTATCTATCTATCTATCTATCTATCTATCTATCATCTATCCCTATCATCTTTCTTTCTTTCTTTCTTTCTTTCTTTCTTTCTTTCTTTCTTTCTTTCTTTCTTTTCTTTTTTTCTATCTATCTATCTATCTATCTATCTATCTATCTATCTATCCCTATCATCTTTCTTTCTTTCTTTCTTTCTTTCTTTCTTTCTTTCTTTCTTTCTCTATCTATCTATCTATCTATCTATCTATCTATCTATCTATCTATCTATCTATCTCTCTCTATCTACCGTGTTTCCCTGAAAATAAGATCCTGTCTTATAGTTTTTTTGAACCCTGAAATAAGCTCTTGGCCTTATAGCCATGCGCTCAAAAGCCCGATTGGGCTTATTATCAGGGGAGGTCTTATTTTGGGGGAAAACAGGGTAGATAGTTTTATTTTTATTTATTTTTTTAATATTTTGACCTGCCCAGAGTTACCCTGCAGTAAAATGGGTGGCGGATAAATTGAATGGAGGGATGGACGGATGGACAGATGGATGGACGGACGGACAGACCAATGCAGGTAGTCCTCGACTTACAACGGTTCACTCAATGACCATTCGAAGTTGCAAAGGCAGTGAAGAAAGTGACTTCTGACTATTTTTCACACTTACAATCCTGGCAACGATCCCCAAGGTCACGGGATCGAAAGTCTGCCGCCTGGCAAGTGGCTTGTACTTATGTCGGTTGCCGTTTTCCTGGGGTCACGGGTGACCTTCTGAGAAGCCAAGTCAATGGGAAAACCAGATTCACTTAACAACCGTGTTACTCATTTAACAACTGTGGTGACTCGCTTGGCAACGGTGGCAAGAAAATGTCATAAAATGGGGCAAAATTGACTTACCAAATGTTTCACTTAGCAACAAAAGTCTGGGGCTCATAAATTGCGGTCATAAATCGAGGACTGCCTATAGATAAAATCCAGGAATTAAACCCCCATAGGAGAAACTTGGAAAGGAGGGAAACGCCCATTAATTTGAAGTTTTCTGAATGTAGCTGGTACCTCTTATCTTTGGATGGATAAACAGAAATGCTGGTCTTACATTTGGCTTCATGTTATGCATGAAGCATAATTATTATAATTATTCCTGAGTTGAAGACAGAAGAATAGAATAGAATAGAATAGAATAGAATAGAATAGAATAGAATAGAATAGAATAGAATAGAATAGAATTCTTTATTGGCCAAGTGTGATTGGACATACAAGGAATTTGTCTTTGTGCATAAGCTCTCAAGAAAAGAATTATCTTGGCTTTTCCACTCCTATTCCTCCTTTACTTTCAAATACTCCTTTTTTTAGTAGTTTTTTAATTAGTTTATAATGTAAATAATTCAAAGAAATGTTTTCATTCAAAGAAAATATAAAAGTAAAAGAAGGCAGGAAAAAGGGAAAAGAAAAGTGGGGAAAGAAAAAGGCAAAAGAAAAAAAAAGGCATTGACTTCTGATTCTCTTCGGTGCAGAGGCCTCAACATCAAATTTCAACTTTTTAACTTTTTACATAATCGTATTAACTAGCCATTTCTATAACAACAAACCCATCGAATCTGTAAAACCCCAAATCAAAGTTTCATTTTTTTCCCCCACCCCAAGCACAAAGTCCAGAAGCGGTTTCCAAGCAGAAGCAAAAAATATTTGTATTTCTTTCCTTGAATAGAACCGTCAATTTAGCCATCTCTGCTAATTCCACCCGCCTTTACTTCCAAATATTCCTGTAGCTATTTACGTGCAGGTGTTGGCTTGTGAGGGCGAGACGGACAGGTGTGGCACGGCCTGGCGGGTCGGCAGCTGGCATCCCTGGCCTCGAAGCTGCCCTCGTTTGAGACTCTCTATCATTTTGTCTTAATTGCAGCAGGCCTTCAAATAGGCTGGCAATAAAGAGCATCCCAGCCAGGGTGGGGCATGGGACACCTGCCTGATTTTCCACCCCTCCCTGAAAAAAACAGCTCAAGGGGTGGGTTGGAGGAGTAGAAAAAAGCAGGGAAGCCCGGCATCTGTGTCACCTTTCGTAAGTCACAACACGCTTCAGCGACCTCCATTCAGGGAAAACATCTCTCTGCTGATTTTTGCCAATTCCTCAACGCTGCCAGGTACCTTCTCCAGCCTGGGTGCCACCATTCAGATGTGAAGATGGCAATTCCCAGCTTTTGGGTTTTTTTTTTTTTAAAGCTCTGGGTTAAAATTTCTCCTGCATGAAAAGAAACGTTTCCAAGTTGACGCCCTCAATTGAGAGCCAGTTTGGTCTAGTGGTGAAGGCACCAGTCTAAAAAGCGGGAGACTGTGAGTTCTAGTCCCACTTTAGGCATGAAAACCAGCTGGGCGATTTGGGCCCAATCACCAGGAGCTGTGAGTTCTAGTCCCACCTTAAGCATGAAAACCAGGTCTTGGGCCAACACAAGGAGATGGCGAGTTCTAGTCCCATCTTGACTGGGTGACTTTGGGCCAATCACCAGGAGACAGGGAGTTCTAGTCCCATTTTAGGCTAGAAAGCCAGCTGGGTGATTTTGACCCAATCACCAGGAGACTGTGAGTTCTAGTCCCATCTTAAGCATGAAAACCAGGTCTTGGGCCAAACACGAGGAGATGGTGAGTTCTAGTCCCATCTTAGACATGAAAACTGACTGGGTGACTTTGGGCCAATCACCAGGAGACAGGGAGTTCTAGTCCCATTTTAGGCTGGAAAGCCAGCTGGTTGATTTTGGACCAATCACCAGGAGATGGTGAATTCTAGTCCTACCTTAGTTACAAAAGCTGACTGGGTGACTTTGGACCAATCACCAGGAGATGGTGAGTTCTAGTCCTACTTTAGTTACGAAAGCTGACTGGGTGACTTTGGACCAATCACCAGGAGATGGTGAGTTCTAGTCCTGCCTTAGTTATGAAAGCCAACTCAGTGACTTGGGCCAGTCTCTCTCTCTCTGTCAGCTCAGTTCACTTCACAGGGTTGTTGTTATGGGGGGGAGGAAGGAGGAGGAAG